AGGAGCGGTAGCGGGAGAGAGATAAGGCCAGCACATCGAGCATGGTCTATTATGGCCAAGAGGTAACAAATGACATCTGTATGTGCAGCAATACAGTATCCAACTGCCGTTACGAAGCGTGCAAACACATTTCGCTGTTGCCAGTTGTCCTGCACTTCACCTTCCAGCCTTAAAATGTCAGACGTAGATTAGTTAAGAGGCCCCTCAAATTACGGCTCTTTCTCAACATGCAATAAATTTTTAAGCGAAATTAAACGCCAGGAAAGTTCGGACGGAGATCAGTGGCTTTTTAAACGCGATAAGTAATCAAAATAGAAAACTGTAATGTTACGTACACAGTCATAAAATTCAAAGACTAACGCCCGAATCCTTCCTTGCTGTTTTAATAAAACATGCAAATTAAACTAGTTTTCAGTTTTGACATCACTCGTGGCCAAAAAAATTACCGCTCAATATCACTTGTGCTAGAAACGCATTGCAAATTCTGTTGAACAAATTCTTGCCGAACATCCATTACTGGACGAGAGGAGTCCACCAGCGGCTAAACATTAAGCGCATTAGCGAAAATGTACGGAAAAAGAGACTAGCGCTACAACAAAAGCCAACAAAAAGCATGAGCCAAAATGAAGCTTACTGTAAGGCAACTCACGTAGCGTGACAAAATCACCTTGAATTATCGCTGTGGACGTTTCGATCATTTGGCATGTACTCATATACAGGCCGCAGCTATGCCGGATCCCCTACTGCACGCTGCCTGCCTTCAGTTACCGCAACCTCTTGTATGCTCACACGCTCGACAACAGTGGTGACAAGCATCTGACCCCCACCATGCGGTGGTATTTCGCATAGCTTAATGCGGGCACTTAGAAGGCGTTGCTCAGAAAAGCGTTGAGGACTGCCCCAAGCATGGTCAATTTTATTCATAATCTTTTCTTTTCTCTCACAGAAATTCAAATTCCTTCACCGCCTTCTTTTCTCCCAACACGGTAAAGCACTGAAAACGTAAAAGCAAGCAGCCCACACAACCTCTAATATACAGTAAAGCAGTGAATTCGCCACACCCTCC